GTGAGGGAAGTCAGTCAGAATTCTTTTGTTTCAAACAAACAATAGTGCCTACTATGTGTTTCCTCAGTCAATCTGAAATCATGTGGTAGTCCTATAATGAATGCAAACTGCTGGGGCAATCATAGGAAATACAGTGGAAATAAAAATGTAACAGCCTGACAAAAATGTTTGGAATCCTGCACATGATTGGTAGGAAAACAATGAATGAATTCAGTGAGATATAATGGTTAAAATGACATGGTGATGTGAAATAGAGTATGTCAATTCACTGATCTACTGAATTACTTAATTATTTAAATAACTCCCTGGTTTTGTGACCCTCGGTAACTTACTTAGTCTCTTTCTACAACATAGTTTTTTTTACATTATTGAACAGAGTTAAATATTTCCATATTGAATAGTTTCCACTTAATATGTTATGGTTACTTTTCAGAGGAAACTTAGAAATTTAGTACATCTATCTTGGATTATAAAATATTGTTGAGACATCAGTAGTGGTATTTTGAAGACCTTCTAAAATCCATAGGACTACTGTTTTGAAAACTGACTATTAAAAATGCATTTTAGCTTAATAATTTTTTGTTAATGTTTTCTAATGTAGTTGAAGAATAATTATTTTCACATAAGAATTGAATTTGGCTTTATAAATCATATTTTCAAATTTGTTTGACAATCTGTTTAGAAATTGTTTGCATTATAGCTTTCAAATTTATTTATAGAACCTAAATAATGCACTAAATTTTTCTCTATCAACAATTTTTAATTGTTCTCTAATTATTTTGCTATATATTCAATAAATGCATTTTAAAGCCCAGATATTCTGAAAGGTCACCTTCCCTTTACTTAGTATTTAAGATCTGTTTGGAGAGAAAACCTGTCTTTTCACATTCCACCATCCTTGCTAATTCCCTGCCTCCTCCCTTTCTCTCCCACCTCTCTTCCCTATCTATAATTCATCTATTCTGAAAGAAAATGTATGAAGACACGAACTGGGTGTCAATCTACTTTATATACAAACAGAGATATGAAAAATTTTGGTATATATGTGTAATAAGAATTGTAATGCGAAAAAAACCAAAGTACATGTTTAAAGACATGAATTGACATGAACACATTTAATATACAAAGATATGAAAAATTGTGCTCTATATGTGTAATAAGAATTGTAATGCATTCCACTGTCATGTATTTAAAAAAATAAAATTAATTAAATAAAAAAGAAAACCTGTCTTTTTACCATGAATATATACAGAGAAGAGCTAACACTATGTTGGAACGAAGAAATGGACAGAACTTGGACACTGCTATGTCACTTCATCCTTTCATTTAAACTTGATTCCCCAAATTTAGATATACTTACTACCAAAAACAAACATGGGGGCTTTTCCATCTTAAACATTACATACTTCAACAGTATTTTACAAAATATGGTTAAATATTTCCATAGTAAATTTCAGACACATTTTGTTATGAAACCTACTTATAAAATTTTTTTAGTTGTAGATGAATACAGTATCTTTATTTATTTATTTTTATGTAGTGCTGAGGATTGAACCCAGTGCCTTACACATGGGAGGCAGGCTCCGTACCACTGAGCTACTTAGTTTTTTTACTGGCACAAACAATTCTACTAAAATTTTTACATTTAATATATACAGTTTTGCCCAGATATTGTCAAAATTTATAAATAAATTAACTTTTCTCAGGAAAAATAACACACTTTTTATCACATGCTACTAAATTATAACTACTACTTCATAATGTCATTTCACCAACTTGGGAGGAACCAATTTCTTTCAGAAGGAAAAGTTTACTATAGTTTTTTACAATGAATACAAATCTGATATATGAGTTATACACTGTGACTTTCTATATGTCCTTGCTTTTGAGATCCTACCAGTTAGATCCCAGTGATACCACTAACAAGGAGCAGCATTCTTTTCAGCTACAAATAAAATGCTCTAAATTCCTTGTAATTAGTATATTTTAAAATATGGAAAATTTTCAATGATTCTGATATGGAACCTTATGGGTGGTGTATGTCTCCCACTCTGGTTCTTGTAATCACTTTGTCTGTCGAAATATTATAAGCTCTACTGTGGAAGTATATAGAGGGAACTGTGAGGTTTAGTGGTCTGAGTAATTATCTATTTATTCAACCTCATCTGCATTTGCCTGGGAAGCTATAAATAGATTACATTCACCTAAATTATATAAATTGTTGATAAGTTGTAAGAGAAAAAAAAGTGCTTAAGAATGCCATATTATAAGAAGTAGTATTAAAAGCATAAAATAAAGGCTTCTAAGAGTTTTGTTTATTTGTTTTTAAGAGCAAAGAGTAGGTTTTTATTTTACAAAAGTTTCTTCTTTTTCCTGGTAAAATGAATTGGGAGAGAAAAGCTAGTACAATTTAAGAGTCATAAAAATTCAGTCTACTATATTTAAAATGTGATTAAAAATCCTAGATATATTATATAAAATAAGAAAAATATATGTAATTTTTTTTTACACTTGGGCAAAGGAAGAGGAATTATGAAGCAGGATATCACCATTCAATGTCTAATTGATACAGGTTAAACTAAATTTTTTTTAATCTTCAAAATTCTCTCTGGTATCTAGTAATGTTTTTCATTTTTAATTAGTGGTAGTCTTGCCAACAGGTCGTACAATAATATATTTATCAAGCAATTCAAAAAAGCTGATATAGTTTATCTAAACTTTTAAAATAGTGAAAGCACACAAAATAAACATTGAGATGATCATTTGAAAGTGGAAAAGAGAAGAAACATAATTTAATCATTAGAATGTTTGTGGAAACAAACTTATTGCCTTTATCAAAAAGCTAAAAATATTTTGTCATGATTCAGAGTTAAATTGCTTTCATTCTTCTATCATGCATGTAATATACTTTTAAAATGTCAGTAACCTCAAAATTTTACCTTTAATTCACACATACAGTGAAAACTCCTAAGATGTAGCATCCAACATGAAAGGAACATATTTCTTTCTTAACACACACCCTGAAATTTTTACCAGAGGAAGAAAAATAGATCAAAAGCTGCATGAGGACACAGTCCCGTGTCTGTTTTCCACTCCCCTGAATCCTCGGCATTTCATTATTCTGACACATAACCAATACTCACGACTTACCATTTGCCTCATAAAGGGCAGGGTTTTCTGAATATTTCAAACTGCTGATAATTTTATTCTTTCCCATAATAACATATAGGAATAGTTTGGCTATTCTAATGTTTGTAACTTGGAAATAGATTATACTCTGCCTTAAACTCAATGAACTCTCTCAAGGGGTTAAGAGCTGAGGTTTTAAATTTAGATGATAACCACAAACCAGCAAGAGTTCAACGTACACTGAGCCTTTGCATGCATATTTTCTACACATAAATAAGCTATACATAATAGACTCAGTTTATTTTCAGGTGACAATTTTTAAGTACAAGTAGATCAGGCCAGTTGTGGACAGAATAAACTCAAGGAAAAATAGACAAAATAATCTTACTGTTACATATAAAACATTTATTTTATTCTAAAAAACTTAAACTTTCTCCTATCAGTTTTCCACTTTCCCAAGGCATACAATGAAACTTAGCCTTATATTTTTACTATCAATAACAGAATTGTGAAGCATTTGATCTCAGATGAAACTGGATGATTTTTGTGTGTATGGTTTTTTGTTGTTGTTGTTGTTTTTGGTGTGCCTGGGTCTAGTTGATACTAGGCAAGTATACTACCATTGGCCACATCCTCAGCCCCTACTTTTTGTTCTCAGAATACTTATAAAAACACTTGTGAAAACACTTGAACGCCTCAAGAGTTTTGTGTCTACATTTTGTTTCTGTGAATTATTTCTGCATATTCAAAATTAAAACTAAAAATATTCATCAATTCATTCAAAAACATGAAACATGCATCATGTGATAACACTAATACCATTCTTTATGAAATATCATATATTTTACAAGCAAAAAATCTTATTATAGCATTGTTTTATTCTTTTGCATGACTAGCATGATTAAAAACATTTAGATTTTCATCAGCATCTGCATTCAATCAGCTGTGCCATGTTATTTTACTGAAGGATATGAAGAAAATCTAGCTGCATAGAGGTACAGAGTTGAAGAAGGGAAGACCTTGTAGAACGAACAAAGGGCATCATAATCCTCATGGATCCTCATTCTACACTTTAAAAATCATTAGACTATAATAATATCATCTGCCATGGTTATTATGTCTTAACTATATGCTAAATTAATGAAAATCTAGACAAAAATAAATTCTGATAGCAAACATGTATACATACATATAAATATATATATATAGCCAAACACACACACACACACACACACACACACACACACACACACACATCTCCAAATTATCTGCACATTCATTTTGGATTCAACTGATAATGTTATTATAAATACTTGTTGTTTTGTTGTAACAAAATGTTTATTATTCTAACTTTTCTACTCATTACAAGTAAATTAGAATGCAGATTGATAGAAGGCAGACTAAAGTAAAGATTGAAACACAGTAAAATTAAAATATATAATGCTTAAATTTAATAGAAATAAACAGATGATTAGGAAAATGACATATTACTTGAAAAAAATACCAAGCATAACTAAGTGGCTAATTTGAATACATGTATGGGTCCCCTTTAAGCAGTAAATTAGATTGAAACACTTCACTAAACACAAGATGGAGTCTAATATTTTTAGTATCCTACATGCCATTTCTAATTAATCTGTAAAAACCACAAGAAAAAATTTTCTTATATTTATGGCATGTCTGCTTTAAATATTAATAGGAATTAACCAAATGCCAAAGAAAATGTACTGATTCAGATATTCTATAATTTCTAAAATCATAATTTTTGTTCTTAAAAATAATTAAATTCAGAAATAAAAATGTTTTTTAGATTATATAATAGATTTTTTACAATCTCATCTCACCATTTGGCAAAGAATAAAATGACTTACTTTTCTTTCTCTTGAAGTTGAAGCTCCTGAGGAGTCATTTTAGGTTCAGTCCCAAGATTTTTTTGCATTAGCTGCCTCCTCTTTCTACTTGGTGCAATATCAGTGACATCAGGACTTGAAATAATGGAGTCATCTTTACTTAAAGTGGCTAAAATAAAATAAAAAATGTAACCCAACAAAATTATGCATATAATATAAGTAAAGTATCAACTTGCTGCTTTAGCATTGAAATAAGGTTGAACGATTAAAATACAGAAAAACTATTTTCTCGAAAGTATTCTCCTACAACTTCATGCAGATTTTTTGAAGTGAGCCAGTTAAAATGGTTTGTAATACTTTTTACCAACATAAAATATTAGATATATTGTAAAGTTGGAATAATTTGATCAGAATAGTTTTGCCCATCATAGGAAGAAATTTCCCAAACACATTATTAGCACAGTTTACTACGTTGGTGTTGGAACTGATTGGAGGTACTGTAGTCAACTGTAAAAGGTATTTGGGTGAAGGGCAAAAAACCCAAACTGTTATAGGGATTATATGAATCAATTTGACATTAAACCATAATTATTAGCAAGTACAGGAACTTCTCTTAGTAACTCAGAGATAATTTCATAGTCTTTTAAGCCAAATGTGGAACAAGAACAAGAAAGCTATAAAAAGTATTAAAAGATATCTCTAATATGGCTAAGTCATTAAATTACTCCTCAGAGTATTTGGTACATGTGAAACAGAAGCAAGAATAGAAACATGTTTGATTTATGTTCCCTTATTCTCTAGAAACAATAAAGAGGAGTTTAGAATTTTCATTCATCCATGCAATACACAGTATATTCTGCTAGGATACATGCTTCTATAAATGAGAAGAGGTGCTTTCCTCTTCGTAAACACAGCAATGATGTCAATATAATCTGAACTTTAGGATATCCTGTCGGTTCATACAATATTTTTTAGCATAGTAATATTTAAAAGTGATTAGGGATAAACTTTCCTTCTAAATATGGAGAGAGTGTCTTAACCATGTAAAAATGTTTAAATGGGAGGAGATAGAAAGCTGAAAATTCTAGTCAATTCCTTTAGCACAAATAAAGGCTGGTTTAATAAACTAAATGAGAAAAGAACTTCACACTTTTTAAAAGTATACTTCTTTGCTAAGTGGTGATCAGAGCTGAAATAGTTACGAAAACATTTCTCCCTATATCTTGGATATTTAATTTTGATGAAATTATTAGGATCAAATGCATGCGATAACTCACATCTTCTCCCTTTGAGAGGAAGAGTGATGCAAAGGGTCTGCTGACTATGATTCTGATTATAATTTTTGTTGGAGATTTATTGGAGTTAGGATTTTTATTAGACTTTTAATGGGAGGTCTAACAATAATGACAAAACTGCCTAATTTGGGGCTTTGGGCTCAAACTTTAATATTTCTCCCATAAACTCCATTACTTTTTTTGTAGTTGTAGATGGACAGTGTGCCTATATTTTATTTATTTTTATGTAGTGCTAAGGATCAACCCAGTGCTTCATACGTGCTAGGCAAATGCTCTGCCACTGAGCAAAAGCTTCAGCCCTAACTTCCTTATTACCTGGTTTTCAGGTATGTGTGTGTGTGTATTGTGTGTGTGTATGTGTATATATTTATATTTATATTATTCTAGCAGAAAAGCCTGCATGTTGCCTTCTCACTCTATGGAATTCACACTTGATCTCTCTGAAATTGCTTACACATTGTTGGTCAATCTCTTGAAATTCTTCCCTTGATTCCATTTTTTTGGTCTTAATAATAACTATTATTTTTGAGAAATTATATGCTGGACATTTTTCTATAGGTTTTGCATGTGTTATTTTATTAATCCTTAAATGACCTTTTGAAGCATTTGCTATTACAGTCTTTATTTTACTTATGGGAAATCTGGGCTTCAAAGAGGTAAAGTGACTTGTCCAAATAACACAGCTTTTGTTCTTAACATAACTTTAACAATTAAAAAATTATTTTTAATCATGGGTAAAATATTATTTGATAAAATATTAACTGAATATCCATCAAATTATATTTTACTTTCCAAGGCTATTTTAAGTTTTTAGGACAAATGACTTCCTCTAGATATGTTGTACATTAATTTGTTAACCTGTAAAAATTGTACTGAGAGTAGAAAAGGTAAATTTTAAAAAAGGAGTTTGGATTTTGTTTTTTTGTTTTGTTTGTTTGACACATTCAAGTTGAATGATTTCCCAAATTTTATTAAGTTGAGAGATGAGTAATCATAATACAATTATATGGTCCATGAGGAAAAAGAAAACTACCAAAAGTGTTGAAGGTAGAGGATATTGCAATTGTACATAGGCTTGTAAAATGGAGAGATTACAGCTGATGTCATTCCTCAATCTAGGAAGATAGAATATTGTTTTAATTACAATTTAAAGTAAACCTTTTTAGAAAATAGTCACCAAAAAATTTTTGTCATTCATTTCAAAACTCCAAATGAAGCCTTATAAATTAGCAACCAAAATGGATATTTTATGTGTGAAATGGCCACACCATTTGTTATAATGTCTGCAATTTACTTTAAAATACAATGTGACTAATGTGCATTAGTTAGGGTGAGCTATAACCCAGTTGTTTCTAGCTCTAATCAGGAAGGCACAGACCATAAATTTGACAGAACAAAAAATTCATATTCCTGAGAGTATTATCATAGGTATTTTGCTATTCACATTTCAATCAACAACTGATGATTTACTGCTTGTTCTAAAGAATGAAAAAAATATGTGTACCTACTAAAATCAAGGCATATAAATTATATTAATAAGTGTTACATATAGCCATTCATGAGCAGAATTAGAGATACTCATGATACACAGATTGGCTAAAATACTTTAGAGATACTCTACCATTTTATGAATGAGGACTAGAAATCCCATGAGGCCTATTTATTTTTAGAGATGATTTCTTATGCTACATTTTGAAGTGACTCTGTGTTTGTCCGCAAACTCTGGGACAAGGTAACTGCATTATCAGAGTAAGGACTGTCATTCCTATTACAGGAAATGTTATACGTGCCAAAAGGGAAACCTCTTACAAGAGGTGGTGACTAGGAAACTTTAAAGGACACCAAGCTTGGAATTTATTCAAGCTTTTGAGGCAGAAATTATTTTGTGCTTATTTTCTAGTAAATATTTTTACTAACTACTTACTATTTTTAGTCACTAGTTAATGGTTTTATGTGTGACAAAATTTAATCTGAAAATATATTACTATTATTATTAGTAGTAGTATTACCTTGTAGCCAAATTATAAAGTATCTAATATTCTCACACTTTAAACTTCTTGGTGACGATCATTATTTAACACAAAGAAGCTGAACTTGCGTATGACCAAATATTTCTGGCCAGTTCACCCAAACATTATGATTCATTTCTCTTGACAATTACAGTGGCGCTTTTCTATAAAATTGGCAGGAGGAGAAAAGGCAGCTGTATAAGCTCAGTTACTATTTAAACAGAATATATCTTCTTTGGTTTGTGTTTGCACCATGGGAAACTGTGTTCCCTTCAGTTTTTCAGGCACATATAGTAGCCAACTGTATTGTAGTAAATTCTCCTACTTTAAATATTCCCTTAAAATACCCATCTACCTTTAATGTCTGGCAAAATACTTTGGCCTATCCTCTCCTCTCTACCCAGCAATGCCAGAAACCAAGAAAAAGGGGCACTACTGCAATATCTGGAACCTAAATATTAAATGACTCATTTAAAGAAAGCATTTCGCCAGTTTCAAACCATCTTGCCTCTCTCCTCTAGCTATGATAATGTTCGGTCCTCTCATTCCCTTTGATCTTGACACTGGATACTACATTTCTATTCTGAACACTGGATCCCTTAAGCTATAGCTGTGAATCTCCAATCAAACCTGTGGTGAAACCACAGAAGGGACAGAATTATATTGATAAGAAGTTAAATACAGGGACCTTCCAAAACGTCTATACCATTCATTGGCCAACGTACAGTTGGCCCTCTGTTCACTTGGGCTCTGCATCCATAGATTCAACCAATCACATAGAGATATTTATGGGGGTCCTGAGACCAGTACCGCTAGATACAAAGGCATGGCTGGTTTTTTTTTTAACTTTAACAATTCAAGTTTTCACTTTTAAGTCATAATATCACATTTTAAATAAAAGCATCAATTCATATTGTTTATTATTTATACATACTTGTTTTAGAAATGAGGAATAATTTGAATAGAATTCTAATGTTTAAGAACAATAAGGAAAAGTATGGCCAGGATAGAGTGGTGTTTAGGAGAGAAAGATATAGGAAATGAGACAATATATATGTAAAAACATTAGGGAAGACGTGGCAAGAAAAGTAGACAGAGATATCAAATAAATTTTTAAACTTTTAAATTCAGGCAGAAGAATCCGAATTTGGGAGGTGTTCTACTATGATTCCACTACCAGAATTCTGAGTTTTCAATATTATCATTAGTTTATTTGTCATAACAATGTGCCTTTCACCATTTCCAAATTTTTTTTTTAAGAAAACAAAAGAAAAAGAAAAGCTATTGCTAATTAACCTACCCCAGTTAAAATGGTGATTGGCATAGCTATGGGATGAAGTTCAAGTTTTCATTAGGTTCACTACATCTAAAAAATGGGGAATCTTTACACAAGCCCTGCTATTGTGGAAGGTGGCTCCACAAAAAGCCATACTTCTTCTCATCTGACAGAAGAACTGCAGGATGTTGGCAGCAGCAGATCAGACATGAGAAGAGTGTTGGCTTCCCTGGGTATTCTGAATGTTGAAATAAAATGACACCCTTGGCTAATTTGCCAGGAATTTGGATAAATCCCATGAGTTAAACTACCTTAAGTTAAACTTCAGTCTGACCAATGATGAACTCTTAGATCTTCATATATTTCAAAATTATTTTCCATCTTTATAATTTGTTTTATCAGGTTCCCATTCTATCACTTTTATGGATTTTTTCTCTTCATGTTATGTGTATCTTGACACACAGAAAGAGTCTAAAGTACCCAAACAGAAACGGTCACCTCTCCCCCCTTTCCCAGACTCCACACATCTCTACCTTACCACTATATATATATATACACACACACACACACACACACACACACACACTTA